TATGAGGTGCTCTCCAGAGGTGTAGTGTATCCACAAGCTTATGGTCCTATTACCACAGGGGATCGCATCTGCTTCTGAGTGTGCGTATAATGTGTGGATGTAGACTGTGTGTGTACAGATTTGATCTACACATGTGGATGTGTGTGTGTGTGTATGTTTGTGTGTGTGTGTGCGTGTGTGTGTATGTGTGTTTGTGTCTGTGTGTGTGTGTGTTTGTGTGTTCATGTGTATGTTTGTGTGTGCGCGTGTGTACATGGGTGTATGTGTGTGTGTGTGTATGTGTGTGTGTGCATGTGTATGTGTATATATGTGCGTATATGTTGTATGTGTGCGTACGTGCACGTGTTCACGCATGGCTGATGCTATTGTGTCTGCAAGTAGTTGTCTGTGTGTGTACATTGAATATTATATACATTTCTATATTTCCAATCCATATCGGCTTACCTTTCTGGTACCTGTAGATTAGTGTTATTCTCTTCCGCATCATTTCGTTATTTATGTGCATTCCTTGCCTACTCCTGTACATTCCTGTCCTCCTCCCGCACATTCCTTCCTTACTCCCGCACGTTCCTTGTCTACTCCTGTGCGTTCCCCACTGGCACGTAGCCATGGCTTACGTCTGTGCATCCTCTGCTTGCTGTCTGCTCCTACGCTACTCCTGCTTGCTCTTGTTTGCTCTTTTGCGTTCAGCTTGCTTTCGAGCACCTACAACTGCGGTACATTTAACGCATACTACTTAGTTTAATTCAAACGTGTGTTTTAGTGGCGTCAGCCGTAAGCTAGCTACCCTTTACTCCGACGTTCCTCCGTACATTCTTCGCCTGCTCCTCCGCATTCCTCACCTGCTCCTCCGCATTCCTCACCTGCTCCTCCGAATTCCCCACCTACTCCTTAGCTCCAGACACATTCCTCTCCTACGGTGTATACCAGTTGGAGTACGACGGCCAAATGATAACTATTCCCGATCTACCCAACGACAATCTCTCCACAGCCGCCATCATCGCCTTTGTTGTGGGCGTCATAGCCGCACTAGGCCTCGCTTTAGGTTCTGTGCTGCTAACTTGGCGCTAGTAAGTAAATTGGTGTAGGTATATATATATATGTTTGTGTGTGTGTGTGTGTGTGTGTGTGTGTGTATGTATGAATCAGTGCTGTGCTGTTGCCTAATGTGTGTGTGTTTATATTTGTGTTATGATATGTATTTAACGTTTTATGTATGTTTTAGGGTTTTAGGGTTTAGGTTTTAGGGTTTGGGGTTTATCTGTACACGAACGAACCATCTGTACACGAACGAACCATCTGTACACGAACGAACCATCTGTACACGGAGGTCAATCTCTGAACACGTGTGTGCGTTAGTTTATGAATGTGTGGTGCATGCTTTGTAGTCTGTGGTGATAGATATCTAGTCTGAATGTGGAATGTGTGGGCGTACTCAAAGCTCCATATAAAAGCACGAGCACGAACACCCCCTTTTCGTTCAACGTAGTAAAAATTCGCACTCACGTCAGAATGTATGTGTTTACTCGCGCAGATATGGATATATATGTGCCAAGCATATATGTACACATACTCATACACTCAGATATGGATACATATGTGACAAACTTATGTGTACACATACTTATACATGTTTATATATTGTATCACAATCCCAGGTGGTCCGGCATTTGATACCATAACGTACATGAACACCGGCCCGTCTAACCGCTTAGCCCACAGTCCAAGTCTGACCTCAGAATCTGCGGCAACTTCTGCATCTGGATCCCTGTTTGGCCTGAACGGGAGTATTATCACAGACATGCGCAGTGTGCTGGGTAGGTACTTTCGTGTGCCTGTCTGTCTGTATATATATATTTAATATCTATGTGTATGTATATATATATGTATATTATATTTGCAAGCATACATGTGGACATACATATATAATTATATATATATTACAATGTGTGTGTGTGTGTGTGCGTGTGTGTGTGTGTGTGTGTGTGTGTGTGTGTAGTGTGTGTGTGTGTGTGTGTGTATGTGTGTGTGTGTGTGTGTGTGTATGTGTGTGTGTGTTTGTGTGTGTGTTTGTGTGTATGGGTGTGTATGTACGTGTGTGTGCATATATCTATATCTATAAATATACAACATTTCATACAACTACGACAAAAACAACACCTACATGGATGCTACCAGCACCTCTGATCTCATTGACAAGAGTGACGCGCGGGGAAGACGCTTACACAGAGACTGTGCCAACGGAGTCGCAGCTCCAGCGGGCGTCAAGAAAGAAGAGCAGCCGCGATAAGGGAGGTGGTTGATGGCTGTATCGATAGAAATACTTGGGAGCCTGGTAACTATTAGGTGTTTGGTAGATGTGTGGATATAGATACATGGGAGCCTGCTAATTGTTAGGTGTTTGATAGATGTATGTATATAGGTACATCGGAGCTTGCCAATTGTTAGATAGCGGCTTTGTGGTGGACCGATAGCCCTGAAATTAGAAATTGAGTTTACCAAAACCTCTGCCGTGTCGGCTGTCGATTCGGGTGTTCGCTCTGGTAGTGGTGCCCATCTCGACGGCGAAGAATAAAATTAAGTGTAATTTACAAAACCGGAGCACCTTGTGATTTTTGTTGTGAAGTTCCGAAAAATTGGCCGAAGCTATTTCTGAAGACTTGTGAATGGATCAGCTGTACTGACAATGCTATATAAATTGGAGGCCAAATGGAAGGAATGCCAGCAATGTCTGCGGA